TGGTGTTTGTTTGAAAATGTACAGGTTTGTCAGCAAATACCATTTAATATAGACATTATGGCTGAAATACATGTTTTTTTTAAATGTTCTGACATATATATATATATATGTTCTGTTATACCAATGTACAGTCGAATTTTTTAATTAACTACATTTCTGGATGCAGAACAGGCTTCCTAGGTTGCAACATCTTATTATTTTATTACTGATATTTAGCAGCAGTTTTGCAGGAAGTGAAGATTTTATGTCTTATGCAATATTGCAGTTTAATTTGCAAACACACCCTGAAAAGCAATTAGTGCAGAAACAATTTCGCAAAAAAATTGCTGGTAAATATATTACAAAGAAACAGCAAGAAGTAACATTAAATTAAAAACATGAAATTGAGGTGGAAAGACTGAAATTGTATTTTCTTGCAAAATATACACAATAATGTCTGTTTTATTTACAAAAATCATGTTTTATAGAGTATTAGCTCTTCCTTGGGTCATTTTCTAAAACGGTTACCAACAACGCTAGCAATATGTAATGATCCGAATTCTTGAGTGAATTCTGAGAAAAAGCGTGCAACAAATATCTATTTAATTTTAGCAGTTTTGCAACTAAACTCTATCATTGACCTTGTTTTCTATACATTGACATTAGCATCAGGCATTTACAAATCTATATAATTTGATCAATTAATGAGCAACGGAGAATCACACGTATTTTTTCTACTTTTAAAATTTCACGTTTAATATGTTACTTTTTATTGCTTTTGAATTTTATTAGCAATTTCTGAGTGAAAATTGTTTATACACATTATACTTTTTTTTTTCAGTGCAATTTAAAAAAAATTAGTGTGGGACTTGATATTATCAATCACAAAATTGATTGAATGGTGAAAAGACTTCACAATAACATGCATGGATGAATTGTGTATAATATGATCAGGAACATGCATAAAGAAAGTAAAAATACATATATATATATATATATATATATATATATAAACACAAGTCTGTCTTCTTCTTCTAAAGCACATTGTTTAGCAACACTCCGCAGAGGTGAACTTTTCCCACGTCTGCTTACAGAACACAGTTGAGTCGTGTTACACTCCACTACATGTGCTTGGCCTCTCATGCCTGCTAGAGCACTATGGGTAACAGTATCCTCCATTAGAGAAAGACTAGAGGAGAGCAGAAACAGGAGATGGTGGAGATGTGCGGGGGTCTTCCGGGACGGACATCTCATCATACATTAACCATGCACTTGATGTTGGACTCACAACTAACTAAACTACGTCTGGAGTGGTTTCAATCATGCACATTTAACCTACAAATGAACTACAGGGAATTCAAGAATCACACCTGATGAGTCATTGAACGCAGCACTGGTCTGGATCTGCGAGACACTACTGCCGCAAAATAAAGTGGAGCGGTCTTGTATCAACCTCTTTTACAAAAATCACTGCAAGTTATTGAACAACTACTGTATAAATAAATATATAAATGCACAAAACATACTGATCCGAGTTTATCATCTTATAGATAGATTGACTTAAAGCTTCTGCTAGGAAAAACAGGCCATTACATAGAAACAATCGCTCTATCAACAAGATGAACACATAATTAAGTTTAGCAATCATTATACAAAAATATTTAAAATCACAGAACGCCTCAAAGAACAAATCAAGTATTTTATGCAAACAGTACTATGGTGCAGGGTTATTATTGTCGACTAAAAACTTTGAAAAATTGTTAGTTGAAATAATATAATTTAAAACTAAAACTGAAATAAAAAAAATATACAAACTATACAGACATGAAAACAAAAAATAATGACAAAATCACACAAAGTGTGTTATTAATATAAGGAATATTAATATACTGAGTAACGTACTGAAATGTTATTGCTAAAAATATAATATCTCTACGATGCTAAAATAACATTGCTATTATGTATGCATCTTTTCTGCCAAATATTATTGTGTTCTGATTCTATATTTACTTGAATAATTGTATATAAAATCACTAACGCAATATTATAATATATTATATATATATAAGCATTACAATAAACTATAATATAATAGAAACTAAAGCTGAAATAAAAACTATTTTAAAATATACAGACACTACAAGACCACACAACAAAAGTACCAAAGATTTAACTAAACTTTAAAATGAAAACGAGAAAAATAAATATAAAAACTATTACTAAAATATTATCTCTACATGTATCAAACATTTTATAAAAACTATCACCATTATATGGGTTAGTTAATGGCTGTAATTTTTTAAATAACTACAATTAAATGATCTCAACTGCAATCTAAAATAACATTTCTATATTATTACAGTAAATAATATAATACCAGAAAAAATTAAGCCTTTGGTGTTTTTCACACATGCTGTAAAAATGTTAGCATCATACTGGTTATCCGCAATAAAAATACTGATGCATGTGAAAACAGGTCATCTACCAATATATTAACCATTCTGACATGGTAAATGACTGTAGTTTAAACTGTAGCTCACGATGCTGGCAACATCAAAGTCATGGGTTTAATTCCCAGCAAATGCACGAACTGATTACATGTGTACCTTGAATCCAAAGTAAGTGGCTTTGTGTAAAAGCATCTGCCAAATGCATAAATGTAAATGTAAATGAGATGTTAAATGAGCAGGTGTGTTTATCTGCTGCGCCTCCGAAACGAACCTACAGATTGAAATTGTAATTCAAAGACAAAGAAACCGCACCCACTCCATTTCACAATGTTTGCGTTCCTTCTGGACACAGAAGAAACCAGTTCTGTGAGTAATACGGCTCTTTACAGAACAGAGGAGGTCTAATTTAACCCACATACAGCAGAACAATATGCATTTCAGAAGAAGAACAACAGCAATCGAGTCCAAACACGTCCAGACGGAGATTCATTCATCAGAGAGCAGAAACCCACCGGTGCTGCTTTACACCCACCGTTCACTCACTCAGACTAACTTACAGTCTGCTTCTTGTGCATTTACACATGATTGGCTCAGATGTAAAAAGAACTGTTTCTCAAAGGGCCAACGTACAATACATTAAAACTGAAACTACTTCCTCTAAATTTACCCATCTGACTTTTACAAGCCTATGCAATGACCTTTCGTTTTACAAAGGAACACATTGAAAGTTGAAATACTGAAACAGTTTTTTCTTGTAAAGCGGATGCTCTGATATTTACAACTTTGAAAATCATTTTTACAGCGTAGAAAATAAATTATATTCACTATGGGATGTTCAGATCTTATTGTAAATCAGATTGTATTTTATTTTAAATTTACAGGTCTGGAAAATTCACTGAAATTTAAACCAATAAATCATTTTCGATTGCATCTCAAAAAGATATTTGTATTAAATAAATTATTATATATGAGCATAACTAAAAAAAAATGGTGTAGAAACTATTTTCGCTCGGAAATTGCTTGTATGTTTCACAATTAGTTACAAAGAAATGGCTATTAACCGTTTTAGATTTTCCGAGACAACCCTGAAAACCCTGATTAATAATAACCAGAGGATATTAATATTACACGCACATGTTGCTCAAAAGATGTTAAAACTGTAACAATTTCATGTGCACCTTTTTTCTGATTATAAAGTACATTTGGTATCACTTTAAGCATTATTATGTTTAAAAATGACATTCATTTAGCGATATTAGACGTGCTACACTATAAAACCTGCTTGTCTGACTTGACATGAACACATGACAAAAAAAGTGACTTACAGAAACACATGAAATGAACACCTCTGCCATGAATGACAGAACTTTTGAGAAAAACAAGAGCTCTGATTTCGGGCTGCAGGACAGCTAGAGGGGTTATCGCTCTCAAAAGCTCAAAACCCTCACGTTCAGCTAAAATCCACTTTATGTTTGGGGTCCAAAAGTGCCTGACACATACATGTACACTCTTAAAAATAAAGGTGCTTCACGATGCCATAGAAGAACCTTTTTGTCTAAATGGTTCCATAAAGAACCTTTAACATCTGAAGAACCTTTCTGTTTCACAGAAGCTTCTTGTTGGCGAAAGAAGGTTCTTCAGATTATAAAAAGGTAAGAAAGAGATGGTTCTTTAAAGAACCTTTGACTGAATGCTTCTTTGTGGAACCAAAAATGGTTCTTCTATGGCATCGCTGTGAAGAACCTTTTAAGCAACTTTATTTTTAAGAGTGTACAGACCAATAATAACCTTGGTCCGTTTAGGTTTAAATGTGTAGAAATGCGTGTAAAAATGAATAGCATTTATTCTTGGTTTTTTAAGAAGGTTCTTCAGATTATAAAAAGGTAAGAAAGAGATGGTTCTTTAAAGAACCTTTGACTGAATGCTTCTTTGTGGAACCAAAAATGGTTCTTCTATGGCATCGCTGTGAAGAACCTTTTAAGCAACTTTATTTTTAAGAGTGTACAGACCAATAATAACCTTGGTCCGTTTAGGTTTAAATGTGTAGAAATGCGTGTAATAGCTGGGGTCTCAGAAACCTCAAACATAAGTAATGTTTTCCTATAAAGTATGTCATTTTGTGCATAATCAGGATGGAACAATCAAAGCAAATAGTAAACATAGAGCACAAGTCAAGCAACAACTGAAATGTTGCTCATAATTAGTATTCAAGCATAAGAAAAATATGACACACGTGGGTTTCAAAACCTAAACTAAAGGTTTGTTTAAAAGCTTCATATCCTGAAGAGCCTATAACGAAGCACCAAGTACTGGTTTAACCTCCAAAGAGCCACAGAGCAGAGTTTCTCAATAAAAACGGGTTTAAACTCAATCTAAGAATCACTGAAGAAGATTTCTGAGAGTAGGTTCTGGGAGTAAGTCTTCAGAAACGCGCAGATGAGGAGGATTGTGGAGTTTCTCCATCAAAACACACACAGGTAGAGGAACTCAGGTGTGACACACCTTCAACAACACCTTTAACGAGAACACAAACCCCTTAAAAGCGTCTTTTAAACGCCAAACGTGACTTACCGATCTCAAATCGACTTGTGTGACTCCTCTGAAGCTGTTCTATGTGTTTTATTGTTCCATGTTCGCTCCCTGCCAGAGAGTGGAAGAGCTGTTCTCTCTGTGTGTTGTCAATCAATCCGACTGGAAAAACTGGTCCGACGAGGAGAAGCTTTACTGCTACAAACCCATGATACACACTCTGGCTTTTCTCCTCTCTGAACGGACACACTTCACGAGCGCAGCGCATTCCTCGGCGATCACGTGACCGCTCAGGTAAGAAAGGTGTGACTCATTTTACAGTCAAATCACGAGGGAACATTTCTGCTTTTCTTGTTGTTTTTCTCTCTGTGTCCTGGTATCGATATGGAGGGGGTGTCTCATAATAATGGAATACTTGCTGTGCGTGCAAGTCATTTTTATGCTTAATATATATAAAAGGCCTAGTTATTTTAGTAATATACAGACCTGTCGCTCTCACGTCTGTGGTCATGAAGTCACTTGAGAGACTGGTCCTGGCCTACCTGAAGGACATCACTAGACCCTTGCTGGATCCTCTTCAGTTTGCCTACAGAGCAAACAGGTCTGTGGATGATGCAGTCAACATGGGACTGCATTACATCCTGCAACACCTCGACAGACCTGGGAATTACGCAAGGATCCTATTTGTGGACTTCAGTTCGGCCTTCAATACCATCATGCCTGACCTTCTAAAAGTGCCTGACACATACATGTACACTCTTAAAAATAAAGGTGCTTCACGATGCCATAGAAGAACCTTTTTGTCTAAATGGTTCCATAAAGAACCTTCAACATCTGAAGAACCTTTCTGTTTCACAGAAGCTTCTTGGTGGCGAAAGAAGGTTCTTCAGATTATAAAAAGGTAAGAAAGAGATGCTTCTTTAAAGAACCTTTGACTGAATGCTTCTTTGTGGAACCAAAAATGGTTCTTCTATGGCATCGCTGTGAAGAACCTTTTAAGCAACTTTATTTTTAAGAGTGTACAGACCAATAATAACCTTGGTCCGTTTAGGTTTAAATGTGTAGAAATGCGTGTAAAAATGAATAGCATTTATTCTTGGTTTTTTTATAGCTGGGGTCTCAGAAACCTCAAACATAAGTAATGTTTTCCTATAAAGTATGTCATTTTGTGCATAATCAGGATGGAACAATCAAAGCAAATCGTAAACATAGAGCACAAGTCAAGCAACAACTGAAATGTTGCTCATAATTAGTATTCAAGCATAAGAAAAATATGACACACGTGGGTTTCAAAACCTAAACTAAAGGTTTGTTTAAAAGCTTCATATCCTGAAGAGCCTATAACGAAGCACCAAGTACTGGTTTAACCTCCAAAGAGCCACAGAGCAGAGTTTCTCAATAAAAACGGGTTTAAACTCAATCTAAGAATCACTGAAGAAGATTTCTGAGAGTAGGTTCTGGGAGTAAGTCTTCAGAAACGCGCAGATGAGGAGGATTGTGGAGTTTCTCCATCAAAACACACACAGGTAGAGGAACTCAGGTGTGACACACCTTCAACAACACCTTTAACGAGAACACAAACCCCTTAAAAGCGTCTTTTAAACGCCAAACGTGACTTACCGATCTCAAATCGACTTGTGTGACTCCTCTGAAGCTGTTCTATGTGTTTTATTGTTCCATGTTCGCTCCCTGCCAGAGAGTGGAAGAGCTGTTCTCTCTGTGTGTTGTCAATCAATCCGACTGGAAAAACTGGTCCGACGAGGAGAAGCTTTACTGCTACAAACCCATGATACACACTCTGGCTTTTCTCCTCTCTGAACGGACACACTTCACGAGCGCAGCGCATTCCTCGGCGATCACGTGACCGCTCAGGTAAGAAAGGTGTGACTCATTTTACAGTCAAATCACGAGGGAACATTTCTGCTTTTCTTGTTGTTTTTCTCTCTGTGTCCTGGTATCGATATGGAGGGGGTGTCTCATAATAATGGAATACTTGCTGTGCGTGCAAGTCATTTTTATGCTTAATATATATAAAAGGCCTAGTTATTTTAGTAATATACAGACCTGTCGCTCTCACGTCTGTGGTCATGAAGTCACTTGAGAGACTGGTCCTGGCCTACCTGAAGGACATCACTAGACCCTTGCTGGATCCTCTTCAGTTTGCCTACAGAGCAAACAGGTCTGTGGATGATGCAGTCAACATGGGACTGCATTACATCCTGCAACACCTCGACAGACCTGGGAATTACGCAAGGATCCTATTTGTGGACCTCAGTTCGGCCTTCAATACCATCATGCCTGACCTCCTCTCAGACAAACTCACCCAGCTCTCCGTGCCCACCTCCATCTGTCAGTGGATCACCAGCTTCCTGACAGACAGGCAGCAGCTAGTGAGGCTGGGCAAACTCACATCCAGGACTATCACCATCAGCACTGGTTGCGTCCTCTCCCCACTGCTCTTCTCTCTCTACACGAATGACTGCACCTCTAAAGACCCCTCTGTCAAGCTCCTGAAGTTCGCAGACGACACTACAGTCATCGGCCTCATCAAGGATGGAGACGAGTCTGCTTACAGACAGGAGGTTAAAGAGCTGGCTGTCTGGTGCAGTCTTAACAACCTGGAGCTTAACACGCTCAAAACTGTGGAGATGATTGTGGACTTCAGGAGAAAACCCCCTGCACTCCCCCCACTCACCATCATGGACAGCACTGTGGCTGCAGTGGAGTCATTCAGGTTCCTGGGCACCACAATCTCTCAGGACCTGAAGTGGGACACTCACATAGACTCCATTGCAAAAAAGGCCCAGCAGAGGTTGTACTTCCTTCGCCAGCTGAGGAAATTCAACCTGCCACAGGAGCTGCTTAAACAGTTCTACTCTGCTATCATTGAGTCTGTCCTGTGTTCATCCATAACTGTCTGGTTTGGTTCAGCTACCAAATCAGACATCAAGAGACTACAACGGACAGTCAGGACTGCTGAGAGGATTATTGGTGCCCCTCTGCCCAGCCTCCAAGATCTTTACATCTCCAGAGTGAGGAAAAGGGCTAAAAAAATCACCTTGGACCCCTCACACCCAGCCCACTCTCTCTTCGAACTGTTGCCTTCTGGTCGGCGCTACAGAGCACTGACCACCAGAACAGCCAGGCACAAGAACAGTTTTTTCCCACAGACTATACTCAGTCTAAACAATTAAGCTTTCATAATTATACAACTAACATAGTATATTTATATACTATATACACACTTTGTAAATAACATATCTATCTGCACACTAATAAACATATCTGTACATTTATCTAAACAATTACATTTTTTTCCTATACTTCTATTTCTGTATATAGTACATTATTCAATTTTTTTTTTTTTTTTATTATATTAGTTTTATATTACATCCCTACTGTGTTATTCCTATGTATGTCTACACTATCATGTATGTCTGCACTACGTTTGTACTTTCTTCTGCACTGGAAGCTCCTGTCGTCAAGTCAAATTCCTTGTGTGTGTAAACATACTTGGTAATAAAGCTCTTCTGAATCTGATTCTGATTCTGAATATAATTTGTAACTTTTTTTTAATTGTCTATTCTCAACTGGGTGAGTGTAAAAGAAACTGAATGAATCATCTCAATAAGTAAAATTAGACAATTTTGAGCTAGTGTAATTTTGAGTAGTGGTGAAGTATCGCCCTCTACTGAGAGAAAAAGTATATACATAATTATTATTTTGTTTGCGCATGTTACTGTGCATTTTCCAAGTCAATCGCTGTTAAAGTTTCTCGATGTAATTATTCAGGTGTAAATAAATTAATAGGTGTAAATAAGAGAGTATCACGTGACGCCTGTTACTTTTCTCAACGCTGCTGTGACTGATTCAATCAGATAAGATTACAGGATGTTTTACATTTTTTTTAGAGATTTATTTTGGCGATTTTTATCTGTATGTGAGATGCTACTCTTTGTAGTTAACAGATATAACCGATTATACATTTTCGTGAACAAATGTGCGCATATAAAAAGATCTGAATCACCGAAACCTTTATGATTTGTCACTTTATGTCTCATCTTATCTCATCTGAATGTTTTTTATACTGAATTTTTGTCTTTACCGTCTCTTAGTGTTTAAAATGTATATAAAATTCAATTACACATAAAAATTTTTTGAAAACAATTATTGTACAACAGCATTTCTTATACGTTTCGATAGAAATATGTTTGTTTCAGCACTCTCATCTGAGGATTTTGGGAGCTTTATCGTTAAACCAGGTGTTTATGATCCTATCTGCTATAGTTTTTCAGCATATTAACGCATAATGTACAGTAATTGGGTAAAGCTTATGTTCTACAATCGTCCTGGAGGGGGCAGGAGTCATTAAAAGGTTATTAACATCCATTTGTTTCAAGAGAAAAGTGAAGTCAGCAGGTTGAGAAGGACATGCAGTATCCAAATAACCAAAAGCAAAGTATTTCCCCTTCTGCTCATTTCTAATGTGAAACAACAAAGCATGTGTTCTTATGACAATATACAAAACATTTTGATATCATATTGTATACAACTACACTGAACAAAATTATAAACGCAACACTTTTGTTTTTGCCCCCATTTTTCATGAGCTGAACTCAAAGATCTAAGACTTTTTCTATGTACACAAAAGGTCTATTGCCTTTTATTGTGGCCAGCCTAAGGCACACCTGAGCAATAATCATGCTGTCTAATCAGCATCTTGATATGCCACACCTGTGAGGTGGATGGAGTATCTCGGCAAAGGAGAAGTGCTCACTAACACAGATTTAGACAGATTTGTGAACAATATTTGAGCGAAATAGGCCTTTTGTGTACATAGAAAAAGTCTTAGATCTTTGAGTTCAGCTCATGACAAATGGGGGCAAAAACAAAAATGTTGCGTTTATAATTTTGTTCAGTGTACATATACAGTATAATGCATTTCATGATACTGACAACAAAGAATGATGTATATACATATACACACACACACATATAGTGTACATGTACGTATATATATATATTTCCATCAATATGGTACACCATAACTATCTAAAAGTAATCAAAAAGTAGTCAGACTACATTACCTAATATGTGTAATCCAGATTAACTAGATTTTTCGTGATGTGATTTGTAATCAATAACAGACTACATATGTACACATACATAACAGAAATGAAAATCATTACAAAATAAATAAGACACATGGTTTATGTAGTTGTTTTTTTATTTAATTTTTGTGTTAATACAATAAATATACAAAACTCAAACTACTCAACATGCGACTAAGGGAGCGAGACAGGAGTGCATTTGTACAGTACAATGAAATTCAGGACGACAGGCCACCGTTCCTTTAGTTATTCAAAATATACAAATATCCCTCGCGTCTGTTTTAAGTAATGTCAATGTAGTAGTAGCAGTACAACCAGTGATGCTTTCTCTTCAATCCATTCCTCACGTATCAGTGTTTCAACTAAGTCAACTAACATCACTAATTAAAAAAGACAGCTTAAAGCCACGATCCATTGCACCAAACACAAGAGGTCATGTCAGTTTATCTGTCGTCTCACACTCCCAACAGATTCTTGTGTTATTTTCCTGTTTTAAATGAAAGCGTTTTGAAACGAACAAAAATAGAGGAACATTCAGGTGCCATTTGTTGAAATTTATTTATAAAAGGAAGAACGACTTGCAGTAACTCACTCACACACACACACACACACACACACAAAGAGAACCGTACACGACTGAAAAAAGATTCAGAACACAAATATGACACGCTCAATGACATTTTAAACAAAATAAAGAACATATTGAAATATTTCACCCAAAAAATGACCATTTTGGATGAACTATTTCTTTAAAGTTATAAATTAAAAAGACTTCAAACAAACTCAATACTGAAAATAGGTGATGAACACAGTTTGTTCTCTCTCACACTCACTCACTCACTCACTCACTCACTCACTCACTCACACACTCACTCACTCACTCACTCACTCACTCACTCACTCACTCACTCACTCACTCACTCACTCACTCACTCACTCACTCACTCACTCACTCACTCACTCACTCACTCACTCACTCACTCACTCACTCACTCACTCACTCACTCACTCACTCACTCACTCACTCACTCACTCACTCACTCACTCACTCACTCACTCACTCACTCAC